CAGGAAGGTGTGAGCCTCTCTTAGCTATGCTAGAAAAAGGACCCTACAGTCCTGCTCTTCTCACCCCACCCTTGGGTCTCAAACCATCTCCACAGGGCAGCACTGCTCAGGGCCTGTATATCTTTTCAGGTAAGGAGAGCCCGTGTAAGGAGAGTTAATGGCACAAGCAGAAAGGGGATACTTGGAGTCTGTATTAAAAATTCCCCCTCCTCTCCTTCCCTCCCCCCAGATCAGAGCCAGGTGTCATCACCTGCCTGTGAAGGAGGAAACGCTGCAGCGAGTGGGCCTTTACATTGAGACCATTATTGGTTCCCTACCTGAGGATCTCCAGACTGTGCTGCACCACCACTGAGCCACCCAGTACCAGAGCTCTGCTGGGAAGGGACTCCCCATTCACAGCGTCTCCTTCAGAGCTGCAGGTGGCTGCAGTCAGATTTGAGGAAGAAACTTCTGCCCTGATCCAGCACCACGGTGACCTGGATTCTGCCTACCAGTGCGCCTGGGTTTGAGTCCTGAGCGCGGGGTGGAATTGACGACGGGAAGGTGAACTGTTTCTGTGCACGAATGTTTTCTGTCCAGCCCTGCTCTCCTGGAGGAGCTGGAGGAGGAGAGCTCTGTGTGGCCATCAATGTGGCAGAGGGAGGCAGCCAGGGGTCCAGTCCCATATGGAAGGCTGTGTAGAACCAACACAGAAATCCCCATCCTTGCCTCATGCTAGGCCCATTGATACGTACATGTCTCTCATGCCCACTTGTCATGGCCCCAGCTGTAGAGACAGGAACACTCTGTATATGGGGTTTATGTACAGAGGCTGCAGGAGAAACCTGACTCTCTCGCTAATCTTGTGATTCCAGCCCCCTTCACACGGGGGATGTGGAAAATCCACCACTATCCCCACAACGGGCTGACCCATTTCTGGAGAGAGCAGTCACGGGCCTAGTGAATTGTTAGTGGAGCTGAAGGCAAGATAAAGGGGAGAAGTGGCTGCTGGAAGGAGCGGACCTCTCCAGAGCAGTGTGTGTTGGACAGGCTGGAGCTCTGAGCACACCGTGGAGCTCTGGGAGTGTGAGAGAGCAGGGAGCAGTCTCCTGTGCAGTGAGGGATCTGACCAGAGAACGTCTAACGAGGAGCGTTTATGTCCTCCAGAGTCTCAGCCCCCTTGCCCATCAGGCAGGACACAGTGCACCGCTGCTTAGAGCCTGCATTACCTGCCCTAATGGGCGCTGGCTCCCTTGTGGGTACGGAGCTTGCATCTCCTTGTACTGCCAGCGTGATGCTCCCCTGTGCTTCCTCGTCCTTACCCACAGCATCAGAGGACTCTGGCACTGCTGTCTCTGTTAGTTCTGGGGGGCCGGTGGGGAGCAAAAGGGGAAGGGCTGCATGCAGTCGTAAGGGATGAATGAATGATGTGCTGGCTTTTCTACCAGTGCTAAAACGGCTGACTGCAGTCTTCCCCCTCTTTTCAGAGCAGTGTTTCTCCAGGCTCTCTGACCGCTGGTTTAACTCACCCTCAGGGCTGCCCTCTGAGAGCCAGTACCAGGCCCTTGTGCTTCACCCTCTGCCACTCTGAGCAGAGCCCGGAGCCTTCTTGCCATGGAATAAGTGTGCCCCATGTTCAATGGGCCTTGGGGAAAACCTGGCGTCTGGGGCCCCCACGCTGCTTCCCCAGTGCAGGCCTAGAATGGAACTTCTTGCACGGTAGGGACGGCCAGGGTGTTAGCCGAGACCTTGCACAAAGGCGTCCTGCGAGCTGTGTGTACAGGGAGCGGGTACAAGGGGGCAGTGGTGGGGAGGATGTGGTGTTTTCTTCAGAGCACTCTGCCCTCCATTGAGCTGTCTCTCATTTACATGGAGGGGTCAGTAAAGAACAAATGCCGGAATCCTCCCACCTCTCTCTGCCCCCGACTCTGGGGGGATGGTTCCTCCATCCCCTGCTGCACGTAGTCTAGAAGAAAGCAGGGCAGCAGCAGTCCTGGTAGTGAGTGTTAGCTGCAGCCCTTAGCCCTCCTTCGTGGCTGCACTGCCCTGCCCTGGCTGGAGAAGCAGGTGGGCAGGGCCCCCCATGCAGTAAGTTACTCTGTAAACTGCTCCTTCGTGACAAAGCCCAGTCTGTATAGTGTATACTCTATATAGAGATGTGTGTGCTAACTGTGCAGTGCCCGCATGAGGGACTTCAGTCACTACCATATAGTAGTAAATGTTAGCTTAAAAAACGGCCTCTTGTCTTGGAGCCTCAGTGGGATGGGCTGAGCTTTGTTTTGAAAAGAAATGGGCATTTTCTGCACGCTGTGCTTGGAGTAAGAATAACCCTGGGTGCTAGCATGCTCATCATCTCCAGCTAGCCTCTTCTCGACAGTCAGCGTGAAATTGTCCAGGGGAACGGCGACACACCTAGAGAACTCAGGTTCTTCCCACTCCGCTAAAGAGCAGCCTGAATTCTGAGCCTTCGCATGCTGCAAGGGGTTGGATTGTGTCTCTGGCTCCTACAATTCATTGTGTCCTCCCTTGTCTTCCTCCTGAGGGCATTCTGCACACAATATTTTAAAATTCTCCAGATTTTACTTGTCAAATAAACGTGAAGGCTCCACTATGGCATTGGGGAACTCAGGCCACTGGCTGCACAGAGGTGGGAGATCACCCCACCCCGGGACACAGACTCAACAGTGAGGCTGCACCCAACCCTGACAGCACAAGGACTGGGCCTGCCCCAGAAACACCCTAGGGCCCTGCCCCTCCATGCAAAGTGTAGGCTGGCTGGCTCAGCAAGGCAGGGTCTAAGTGTGGAGGGATCCAAATGTGGGTTCAGAGGGTTCTGGGTGGGGGTATCTCAGTGGGGGATCTGGATGCACAGGGGCTTGTTGGAGGGCTTCTCTGTGCAATGGTAATGGGACTCTGCAGGGGGGTCCAGGTGAAGGTGGTTGGGGCTCAGTGGGATGGGGGTCTAGGTGCAGGTGGAGTGGGGCTTAGCAGGAGGGTTCTGAGTGTGGGCAGTGAGGATTCAAGGGGGAGCAGTTCCCTGTACAGGGATCCATCTCCCTGCACCTGAGGAGCGATGGGTGCAGGAAGCAGGGGGAAAGAAGGGGGGTTTACAGAACTTCCTGCAGCCAGGGGAGAAATCTGGGGGTGGGTCTGACCTGGCCCTGGATGCTGTGCAGGGGAAGAGGAAGTCCTGTCCACCCTAGCCCAGCTGGGACTAGCAGCTGAGCCTGGCCCAGTCTTCCCCAGTCCCACCCTCTGGCCCACAGTGATTTAATTCTCTGCTGGCTGCGCTGGGCATCCACAACATACTGCTGGGGAGGGTCACATGACCGCTCTTGTGGCTTCCCTTTGCTTTCCCATCAGAAAGTCAAATTTTTCTGCAGGGAAGCACAGAAATCTGTGGGGGGGACATAAATTCTGGGCATGTGCAGTGGTGCAGAATTGCCCCATGAGTAAACCTGTCTGCGCTACAGGTTCTAGGGGTTTGGGTGGAAATTAATGGAAAGGTGGCATTACAGCACACAGATAAATATTTGAGCAAAATGGGGCTGGTTTGCTATGTGGGTCAGGCCTGACTCCTTCAAAGCCAGATGTGGCTGGAGAGTTCAGAGAGGTCACAGCTCCTGCATCACCAGCCCTGTGGACAGGCAGGGCAGCTGTTTTACGCTGCCCATACGAACCAGCAGCTGCTGTTCAGTGAGGCACAATTTCAGCCCTCGGGAGTCAACACCAACAGGGCCAGAGCTGAGACAGCGTTGGTCTGGCTTTTAACTAGCTGGGGGTGAGGGGGGTTAATGCTGATAAGTCTCAAGCCTGAGTGCACACAGGAGGGAGCAGGAGAACTTCTAGGGCCAGCTGTTTTCATTCTGGGGCATTAACCAAGAACCCCTTTACCCCCGCAGGAAAGGCTCCTGGCGTGGGTTTTGTTTTACCCAGCGGCAGGAAGGATGAGGAGTGGCTAAGCATCCGCCTTTGGGCCCTGGTGAGGCCCCAGAGGTGCTCTGCCATAAAAAGCAATGTGAACACATTACACGTGGAGCGTTCAGAGGGAGCTGGGGCAGGTAATACAGGTGAAGCCAGCTTGGGAAGAAACCATCTTTTTATTCTCAAGAGATGGCAGCTGAGGGCCAAGCAAGGTCTACTGCCTCCTCTGGCCAGCCACAGTTAAGATTCAATTGCTACTAGTGAGGGGGATGCCCATATCCCTCATGGGAGCTCTCTGCACCCCAGTTATCTCCTTCCATGTTTGAATTAGTACAGATCCTGTGAGTTCCCAAGCTGTGAACACACACACAGCTGGGTACAGTGCCTGGCACAGACAGGGACCTGCTCCAGGGCCGGGGTTCCTAAGCACCAGAATAAATCAATTCTGCAAGAGAAAGGAAGTCCCTGCTCCACAGAGCTTCTGCCCTAAATCCTATGGCCTTCTAGTAGTGATAGCCATGGTTCCTTCAAGCTCCGTTCCCTCTCATGGAGGCCTGCAGCAGCCCCAGGGTCCCCACTGGGGAGGGGAGGGGAGGCTGTCCCTCCCAGCCTTTTGCAGAAGCTACTTTGGAGATGACGGAAGGACAGCAGTGTATATGGGAGAGAATTTAAGTGAGGTCTTGGCCTCTTTTCCCTTGCAGCCCTTAAGCAAACCATAGTTGGTCACACAACATTTGCTAATGATTTTGCTGCTTTGACTAACCAGGGGCCTCTCCAGCCTGGGTTGCTGGCCCCAGCCAGCTTGCTGCCAGACACAGGTGTGGCTTTAAGTCTGTGTTTGCAAAGTCATTTCTCATAATTCAGAAGGGTGGTGCAATCAGTGCAGACCCTACTGCAGCCGGTGCCTGTTTTTCAGGAAGGCTGCACCACAAAGTCAGTGCAGGGCTGACTCCTTATTATCTAACCATTGCCTGGTGCAATGTCCAGGGGACCAGGCCCCAGCGAGGAGAGAAGTTGTGTAGTGCTCCTACGAAATGCACAGCAGCTGCTGCAGACTGGGAGCCCAGTGAACAGCAGAGACCAATGCAGGCACTCTCCTAGCACTCAACACCGAACGATTCTTCGTAGCAGGCTTTGAGGCCGGGGTAGTATCTCAAGGGGAGTGTCTCCCCCAGAGCCTCCTGGCGGAAGTTCTGCCGCAGCCAGCCGTAGACCAAACTGTGCAGGAGCCCTTGGAGGGACATGGTCAGGGCCTGCGAGAGAGGGAGAAGTGAGAGCAGCGCTTTCGTCAACACCTCCTGCGACTGCCATGTCTGCACAGCAGGGCCATTGCCCCCTGCTCTGCAGGCTCCCTGTCTGGGGAGAGACAGGCAGCTCCTCTCCGAACACGGAGTCGATGTCAGAAAGTGGGAAGGCAGACGACTGCGTAACCAACTGACAGCGGGGAGATGGAAGCGGACGAGCCTCCCCCTGTCACGAGCAAGACTGACACGGCTCCCACGGGCAGGCTTAGCAAAAGACTTTCCAGCGGAAGCCAGGAGAAAAAGCTCTGCCCAGCTCGGGCAGACGGGAGAGGCAGCGCAGCTACCAGCCCTGCAGCAGGAAAGAGCAAAGGCGCTGAGCTGAGCTGGGCATGGAATCGCCCCCCCGAGCCGGTGGCCTGTATTTCACGGGGCCATTTATTTACATTTTGGCAGCACCAGCAGAGCTTGTCTGACCCTTGGAGATGGTTTATTTCACGGACCGGTGCCTCCCCGCTCCGCCCACGCACTGCCTAGGGTAACACCGACAGACCCCAGTCGTCGGCGAGCGGGATCGAACCGGGGACCTCTGGAGCTTAGTGCATGAGCCTCTCCAGCATGAGCTAAAAGCCAACTGCCTGTTACCTACGGCGGTAGAACAGACCCATTTAACTCTCTGTAAGTGGTCTTGGTGCCACTAGATGGGACAGAACACCCCACCCAGAAGGCGTGTGGGTCACACTACCAGAGAAGAACCTGCCTCGGCGGCTCCTGAGTGCTACACACCCACCCAGGGGACGCACAGGCACTGTGGGAGCTGAAACACCCTGCCGTCTGCATGCGGTGTGACTTCCCTCCCTTTAGTCCGGCTGCTGATCACGCTGCAGTCCCAGTACTTGTCTGGGGGAAGCATACAGCGGTCCCCAGACAGGGCCCCATCATGCTAGGCCCTGTTCAGAACCAATCCAGAGACCGTCCTTCCCCTAACGAGCTCACCATCTGAGTAGCGGCAGCACCTGCCTGTCAGGCTGAAGAGACTCCCAATCCTTACCATGGCAACATGAAGTGCAAAGATGGAGGCGGGCTCGATGCTGGTGAAGGAGAGGATGCTGAGCAGGAAGGCTGTGGACAGAGAAAGGAAGGTGGCATCCTGGCTTTATCCTGCTGTTCCCTCTCGCCCACATTTCATCACTAGTTTCTCTTGCCATTTACTTCTGCACCTGCCTTTAGCGCTCCGCCCTCAGCGTGCAGCTGCCTTTGCCCCTGCTGGCCAGGCCCTAAGCCTCGTCTGATGCTTGTCCAGCCCCGTTCCCCGGAGGACGGGTCCCCACGTGCTTTACCGGCACTTCTGTACACACACAGCTTCACTGCCAACGGGCCGCCCCTTCCAAAGTGGGAGCCAAGCAGCCTGCAGTGGGGAGAGGAAACGCTGGCCTCCAAGGGCTCTTCTGAAAGAACCACACCCGCGGACGTGTGTGGGATTCAGCTGGTCTAGCAGGGGAGGAGGAGCCAAGCCAACCCAGAAGGAATCGGCGTTCTGTGCTTCTAGGGAAGCCAGAGACTTCAAACCTGATGCTTAAAGCACAAAACAACTCGGGCATGGAGGCCATACCTGTAGGCCAGATCCTCCTCCTTCTCCCTAGCCGGGCTCAGCCAGACCCAGGATCACTGCGGGCAGGGTTGCTATAGCCAGCCTGACTCCTGCCGCTCAGCCTGTCCCCAAACACACGTATCCGTCTTGGCACAGGGATCTCACGGGGGAGTGGAGAGAACACTGGGACCAAATGTTGGCCGGGAGGACGGTGGGGGAAGCTGTGTGGGCACTCGATTGCCGTGTGAAGGGATCATGGGGCACAAAGAAGAGAGGGCCTGTCACCACTCTTGCTCTAGTAGGAGCAACTCACCTGGGGTCCAGCAGATCAGGAAAACCAGCTGGAAGCAGCGAGAAATTTTGCAAACGCTTTGGATGTTCCTGCTGGCGAAGCCGTCGTTCTCCATGTTCATCAACCGCACCTCATTGTTCCTCCTGCACCAGAGCTTCACCCTGCAGTACAGGAACTGACAGAGACAGCGCTGTTCACCACGCCGCCCGCCCCCTCGCCGTTCACCACGCCGCCCGCCCCCTCGCCGTTCACCACGCGCCCGCCCCCTCGCCGCCCGCCCCCTCGCCGTTCACCACGCGCCCGCCCCCTCGCCGTTCACCACGCGCCCGCCCCCTCGCCATTCACCACGCGCCCGTCCCCTCGCCGCCCGCCCCCGCGCCGTTCACTACACGCCTGCCCCCTCGCTCCCCGCCGCCATTCACCACGCGCCTGCCCCCTCACCGCCCACCCCCGTGCCGTTCACCACGCACACGCCCCCTCACCGCCCATCCCCGTGCCGTTCACCACGCGCCCGCCCCCTCGCCGTTCACCACGCGCCCGCCCCCTCGCCGCCCGCCCCCTCGCCGTTCACCACGCCGCCCGCCCCCTCGCCGCCCGCCCCCTCGCCGTTCACCACGCGCCCGCCCCCCGCCCCCTCGCCGTTCACCACACGCACGCCCCCTCGCCGCCCGCCCCCTCGCAGTTCACCACGCGCCCGCCCCCTCGCCGCCCGCCCCCGCGCCGTTCACTACACGCCTGCCCCCTCGCTCCCCGCCGCCATTCACCACGCGCCTGCCCCCTCACCGCCCACCCCCGTGCCGTTCACCACGCACACGCCCCCTTACCGCCCATCCCCTCGCCGTTCACCACGCCGCCCGCCCCCTCGCCGTTCACCACGCCGCCCGCCCCCTCGCCGTTCACCACGCGCCCGCCCCCTCGCCGCCCGCCCCCTCGCCGTTCACCACGCGCCCGCCCCCCGCCCCCTCGCCATTCACCACGCGTACGCCCCCTCGCCGCCCGCCCCCTCGCCGTTCACCACGCCGCCCCGCCCCCTCGCCGTTCACCACGTGCCCGCCCCCTCGCCGCCCGCCCCCTCGCCATTCACCACGCGCCCGTCCCCTCGCCGCCCGCCCCCGCGCCGTTCACTACACGCCTGCCCCCTCGCTCCCCGCCGCCATTCACCACGCGCCTGCCCCCTCACCGCCCACCCCCGTGCCGTTCACCACGCACACGCCCCCTCACCGCCCACCCCCGTGCCGTTCACCACGCACACGCCCCCTCACCGCCCATCCCCGTGCCGTTCACCACGCGCCCGCCCCCTCGCCGCCCACCCCCGTGCCGTTCACCACGCGCCCGCCCCCGCGCCGCCCACCCCCGTGCCGTTCACTACACGCCTGCCCCCTCGCTCCCCGCCGCCATTCACCACGCGCCTGCCCCCTCGCCGCCCCACCCCCCGCCGTTCACCACGCACACGCCCCCTCGCCGCCCGCCCCCGCGCCGTTCACCACGCGCCCGCCCCCTCGCCGCCCGCCCCAGCGCTGTTCAACCCGCGTGCTCCCCCTCGCTCCCCGCCCCCGCCCGGGGGCTCTGGGCTGTGAGCCCCCGGCCACTTGCTGCGACTCCAGGCCACAAGCAGCTCGTGCGCTCACGGTGCAGCAGCTCAGCACCAGCAGCAGGGACAGGAAGAAGATGATTTTCATCTCCAGGCCCGTGTCCTTCCCGCCCGTGTACTGGGAGACAAAGGAAAAGCGACTTGAGGTGGTTGCTTGGGGCAGGATGCTGCCCCCCGCCCCCAGCAGCCCCTCCCCCGCCCAGGCCCCTTGTTTTACTGCTTGTGGCCGCGAGCCTGGCAGCGAGTGGTGGGGACTTGGCCCTGCCCGGCTCCAGGCTGCGCCAGGTGCTTTGCAGACACAAAGCAGGGTGCCAGTTGAGCCTCGGGGTGCAGCCCACCCTCTCGTATAGGAGCTGAAGTTTCAGTGCTTCACAGAGAACCCTGCTGGGGCGTTAGCCCTGGCCCCTTCCGCCCTCCATCCTCCCTGGTCCCCAGCCGTGGCTCAGCTGCCGTTCCGGACAGCCTCCCCGCTCCACCTTCCCGTTATTCCCAGGGGGCAGCGGGATCATGGCGAGGCGGGCGGGAGGAGAAGCAATGTGTCCTGGCTACCCAGCAAGGACAGTCCCCGCCCCAGCCCCGGCAGGAGGGGAACAGCCATGAGCAATGGTGCACGAGGCTGGAAAGGGGAGACTGGAGGGCAGCTGCTGCCTGGGAGAGCTTCTGAGCCAGGCTGAGGCTTTGGGGCGGCTGGGACGGCTCGGGGAAGGGGAGGTGGAGGAAGCGGAGGCCGGGGGCTCTCACCGTGGAGCAGGCGTCCTGCGCGCGGTGGATGAGGACCAGGCAGCTGAAAGAACGTGGCGGTTGTCAGTGGCGCCGCTCCCAGCACCTCGTCTCGCACGTTCCCCCTCGCCCGCGTCGCAGCGGTGGAGGCCGTGTGCCAGGGCCGTGCCCCAGAGAGCGGGGCCTTGCTCAGCTCCTGGGCTCCGGGCACCTCTCGCCAGGGCAGGAGCCGATGCCGGCAGGAGCCGCTGGCTGGCCGAGTTCGGTGCCGGCAGGTGGTGCAGCAGCCCCAGGGGCGTCGGGCACGCTGCGCTGAGCTCCACCCCACGGGGCTGCGGGGCGGGACTCGGGAGCCCTGCATTCGCTGGCAGGGCAGGACTCGGGGCTAGCTCGGCAGGACTCGGATCCCCTTTGGCGCGGGATCGTTATCGACTGGGCCTGCGCGCTTCTGCACGGACCCGGGGCAACCGTCCCGGCCCCAGAGAGCACGGCCTAGTTCCGAACACGAGGCAGCCGAAGGCCCTGTGGGGCCTGCCTGGGGGAGGCTCGGGCTGCTGGAGGGAGAAGGGGCCGGCGGCTGCTGTGAACGGACCGAAGCGCTACCTGGAGCAGTACAGGCTGTAGGCCTCTCGGGAGCGATTGGCCGTGCGGGGCATGCCGGGTTCGACGGCCATGGGAGCGATGTCTCTCACGGACGTGCCTCTCAGCAGCAGCTGGCCCAGGAACATGAGGGCGGGGAGCAGCCTTGCCAGAGACAAACGGGGAGGGGAACGGAAGAGCGCGAGAGCCTGGGCATGCTGCAGGGAGTCGCCCCGTGCACTGGGAAGGCTGTTCCTGCCCCCAGGTTGCAAAGGTGACGGCACATCCCAGCTGGGACTCCCCACCCCGAGCCAGGGCAGCATCTCTGACTCCGCGGTAGCGATGGGGACCCGGAGGCCCAGGGAGCTGCAGTTACTAGTCAGACTGGGGCTGGGTTATGCTGGTCCCTTTTCCCAGGCCAGGCTGCATGGCCGTGGCAGAGGCAGGAGGGGAATGCAGGACTCCCTCGCCTGGAGCTGAAAGCCAGGACAGCCTGCTGCCTCCCTGGGGCCGGTGATGCTGGCCAGAGCCAGACAGCGCGGGCAGGGGTCACGCAGGCTCTGCCCCGCCCGCGGTGGTCACCCCTGGGAGGGCTTAGGGCAGTGAGGGGGCTTAGGGCGAGCAGCTTCGGACCAACCCAACCCCACAAGGCAAAGAAACCCAGCGGGGCACCTACCAGGCCAGGGCATAGGGCAGGCAGCGCTGCACCCTCTCCGCGCACCTGCGTCCCTCCTGCGGCGAAGAAGAGCTGGGTCAGAAGGGGCTGCAGCCTCGCCCCAGGGCTCGAGGCGGGTTCTGGGTACCGAAACTGGCGTGTTTAGCGCTGCACCAGGTCCAGGGACGCGGCCCAGTGTCCCATGGGGCTCGCAGGAGTGTGCAGCCCTCAACAGTGGCTTTCAAACCGCGTCGGGAGGGGACCAGCGGGGATCCCAAAGGCTGCTGCTCTGTACTCGTGTGGGTGCGTCTCTGAACCGCTCGCTCTCAGGCTGGCCGTTCTCAGAGCAGCCCGGGCTCCCATTGGCCCAGAGGGCTAGCCGGGTGCCATGCACGGGCATGTGGGCATCGCATTCACAATACACACGTGGTAAAATAGGGAACAGGCTGCCCCAGGCATCCTCTTGCCACCATTAGCGTCCCATTGATGCAACACCCACTACTAGCCAGGGCTCCAAGGTAACCTGCTGCCAGCTAGTGAACATGGAGACCTACTCGCTGCTGATCCACCTGGCTGGGAACTTGTGGCCTATCCTGATCCCTTTCCTCCCCTGCCAAGGTGTGGGTGGGTGACCAGAGCGCCATCCCCCAATCGCCTCGGGCCAGGGCCAGGGGCTGGCAGGTCTGAGGGATGCTCACGGCATGGCCTGTTCCTGCCTGGATGCATGTGATGTAACTCTCCCTCCTGTCCATCTCTCTGGCCGCCCTGTGGTGTCTGTCTGTCCTGAGGAGCTGCCACCAGCGGCTCCGTCTGGCCCCTGGCCTGGTTGTGCCCGGTGGGGGAGAAGGACCGCCTCTGGCATTCCAGCAGCAGTGGGGAGGAAGGCCTGGTCATCCCCTACCTGCAGAGCGGTCATGTGCGTCACTCTCCAGCCACGGATGGTGCGGTTCACTTCGTAGGCATAGACAATGACCATCAGGAAGGAGATAGCGTAGAACATCTGGGCAAGAGAGAAGCTGAGGGTCACACCCAGCAACAATCCCACCTGCCGGCTTCTAGGGCGAGCCAGGCACCCCGCTGGGCCCTCATTCCCACTAGCCTGTCCTGCCTTCCCCAGGCCCAGGGTACTGCTGTCAGCGCGGCTCCCAGTAACCCCAGGGGATCTGAGCATGAACCAGTCTGGTAACGACACCTCCAGAGTTCCAGCGGGGGCGGGGGGAAGGAACCAGCACGTGGGCACGACCCTCGCGCCCCCTACCCCACCACATCCACCCCTGCAAAGGCTCCGGCCACTTACTGGGGCCTCCCTCGTGGCTTTCCAGCCATGCTGCACAGCAGGGCCTGATGGCGGCCATCTGGGCTGACACACATGGGTTCGAACCGGGGCCATCCAGAGCTGAAAGCATGAGTCACCGCAGCCCGACCCAACCAGCCAGGCTCCAGAACTGGGCCCGTAGCAGATTCCCGTCCCGCGCGGCCCAGGCAAGACGCAGCCACGTGACGCTCTGACGAGCGGGTTACACGCGCTCACAGTTGCGGAGCTGGATCGCGGCAGGCAGCGGCACAGAACATTCCTCCAGTAGCCAACAAGCTGAGCCGCTCAGTGGTCCCTGGCTACTCTAATAACTCATGACCATGTACCCAAGGCACGTGTCCCCCCACGCCCACAGATTAGCTAAGAGGATCCAGGTGGGCTCAGGCTTAGCATTCACAACTGGCTCAGAAAACACGGTTCTTCCCCCGGAGCTATGGGTGCAGTGGGGGCTGAGTGCTACCACCCCGGTGCAAAGGGCAGTCGTGCAGCAGGTGTCACGTGTCTGGACCGTAGTAACCCATATGCGACTGTGTCTCCTGAAATCTTAATTGAGCAACTGGCTGAAACTGGCTTGGAAAAGACATGGTTGTAATGTTATTGACAGAATTTGTAACCATAGAGATCACTCTTGCAATCACTGTTATATATTTGCAGCAAATATTGTACAGAGGTTGTCGTGTGAGGTGTCTAAGACAAGGTTATGATTGGCTGGTTATAATTATGCTATGTGTATCATTTTTGTATTGAAGTTGTGAATATTGGCTCTATGCTGTCTGTATTTCAAACTTATGCTCTGCTTCTGGGTGACACCCCAGACAAGTTGGTGTCAGCTCTGCCTAGACAGCTGGATGGCCCTGGCCCGTTAAGGACCATCAACTATACAATTGACCTGTTGAGAGAAGGCAGACACGCCTTGGGACTCAGCCAGGTGTGCAGGGACCTGCCTATGGACAGAACTCTGAGGTTTTTCTATGCCATGTGTTGGATACTGTGCCCTTGGGACAAAGAAAGCAAAGACTACATGACAAGAGACTATAAAAGGCTGATGCCTCATTTCCATCTGGCCTTCAGTCCTACTTCATACCTCTGGAGGGACACTGCTAGAAACTGAAGCTCTGAACAAAAGACTGAAGGACCCCTCCCAGCTGGGGATGTTCTCCAGAGACTTGATTTGAACCTGCCGTTTATTCCATCACTGCAACATGCCTGAACCAAGAACTTGGTCATCACTGTATGTCATTGATTCCATTTCACCGATTCTAGCTCTCAGCTCTATTTCTTTCTTTTTATGAATAAACCTTTAGATTCTAAAGGATTGGTAACAGCATGATTTGTGGGTAAGATCTGACTCGTATATTGACCTGTGTCTGGGGCTTGGTCCTTTGGGATCGAGAGAACCCTTTTTCTTTTACTGGGGTATTGGTTGTTATAACGAGTCATCCCCATAACGAGTGGCCCTGGTGGTGAAACTGGAGCGTCTAAGGGAATTGCTTGTGTGACTTGTGGTTAGCCAGTGGGGTAAACCCAAAGTCTTCTCTGTTTGGCTGGTTTGGTTTGCCTTGGTGTGCAAAGGAATCCCAGCCTGGGGCTGTAACTGCCCTGCTTTAAGCAATTTGGCCTGAATTGGCACTCATAGTTGTGTTCCATCAGAGCCAGCATCATTACGATGGTCACTTGGAGTCAAAACTGTCCGGAAGACTTTCAACCCAGGACCAGCAGAGCAGGCTGGCCCCTTTGAGAGCCGGGCCCAGCAGTTGCCATTACTGGAGCCGGCCTGTTAAGGCGTTTTGGGTGGTTGTGGGTCCCAGGGGGATCCTGTGGCTGGCATGCCAGGGCTCCATAAAGAGCTGAATGGGACTCAAAGCCAAAGGCCCTGCAGGCAGGTGGAGTAGGAGAGAGCGAGCAAGGGGCTGGACACGCCACACAGGAGGGGCTGTGGAAGAGGCCCAGGACTGGGGGTTAAGGAGCAGGAGGAAGCGGCTGGGGCAGCCTGAGGCCGGTAGGGGCTGGAGGCCCAGGGCTCAGGTGCCCCAGGCCAGTGTTGTCAACAAAGGCGGCAGGAAACCCCACGTCTACTGGCATCAACAGGGTAGGGCTCTGGAGCCGTAAAGCCCAGGGAGGGAGCTAAGCTGTATCACCCTGGGACACCGGGTGAGCGCTCCACCTGGGGAGGGTGAAGGGCTGAGGTGTGTTTAGACTTGTCTTCCCACCCAGGAGGACTTCTTGTGTTGTCCAGATGGTCAAAAGCACCAAATCACCCCATCCACCAGGGGAGACTGCAGGCCATGGGCAAGAGAGGGGAAACTGAGGCAGTAATCTGCTCTCAAGCAGGTAAGAACCCGTTACAAAAGGGTAACGATAAATGGTTGTGTATCAAGGTGGCAAGTGGGTTCTACAGGGATTGCTGTTCTCTCATTTCACATCTACCCCAGTGAGCTGGGATGGTGAGTAAGCTGCGTGTTCATGAAAGCTGCAGCTGGTATTAAACAGGGAGGACTTGCAAGTCCCAGTGAGGACAGAGAAACCGCAATCAAGATTTGGGAGAGGGGTGAGACACGGGCAGTAAAGCACATGAGATTCTGCTGGGGAGTGAAAATGCCACAAATCTGCCTGGGCAACTTAACCCCAGACCCAGATCCCTGGAGAGAGAAATGGAGGAAGCAGCTCTGGCTGAAGGGTTTGTCCTAGGGCGAACACTTCTCAGTGCGGGGGTGCTAACAGCCAGTGAATCCGACTGAAGCCACAGTGCGACGTGGCAGCAGAAACTGATGCATGTCTGGGCTGGGGAGCCCGAGGCCTCGCCTCCCAGAGAAGGGAGGGCTACACGCACCTGGAGGAGCGCTCCCAATGCTGAGCGCCATGTCGCCAGCAAGGGACATCAGCTGGAGGGAGTTCAGGGCAGAGAAGCAGAAACCGATGGAGGCAGGAGGGATGGACGCACATGGGGAGATCAAAAGTGGAATCGGTTTTCTTTGGCCAAGCAATGACTGGGGACGAGGGGCGTAACCTGCAGGCAACTGAAGGGCGCAAAGTCCAAGGATACTTCAGTTCCAGGGTGCTCGACTTCAGGCACCAGGGGCCAAATTTCCAGAGCTGCCGAGCGCTCGGCGCCCACGGAAGTCAGTGGAGGTCGCAGGCGCGGCACCTTCTGAAAAGCCAGGCCCACAGCGGTGGAGTTGGGCTCTCCAGTGCAGGCCGGGCCCCAGGGTCCGAGCGGTTATTTAGTGCGATGTGAGCATGGAGCGAGGTGTGATGGCAGGAACCCAGGGAGGGAAGGAGCAGGCTGAATATCAAGAATGGCTCCCTGGCAGCAAGAAGCATGAGGCTGCATCTCCTCAGGGCAGGGGCTGAATCTCCATCCTTGTGACCCCTAGCTGGGAACAATCCTGGACTGGCCCCTGAAAGAGGGACCTGTTAGGGCTCGAATATCCCCAGAGTCGAGGGCACAGCTCACCACACCACGTGCATGGGCAGCATGACACCCCCACCCACCCCAGGGCTCATCTGCGCGAACAGTCACAATCTGCAGCTATACCGGGCGGGAGGGTGCAGGGGGGGGTCGCAGCTTTCAGAGAAACAGCAGCAGCAGAGACTTTTGAGCCGGGCACAATCACCACCAGCCCCAGCCCACACGTCCGCCCTCGTGCAATCGCACCTGCACCCATCTGTGCTCACCATGGCCAGCATCAGGCCGTAGGGGCAGAACTCGTAAGCCAGGACAAAGAGTTGGGCTGGAAGGAGCTGGATGGCAGCCGTGATGATCAGCACCAAGGCAGCCAGGAAGTCTGCCAGGGAGAGCAGGAAGAGGGGGAGCAGCTGTGGGGGGCAACAAGGTTAGTTAGGGAAGATGCTACCAGCAGGGAGCAGCCCCCTTTTCCCTGGCCCCGTCTGGTACACGCCTGCCTCCCTCCCTCCCCCCCCGCAGCACCCATTGGTCTCCTTTGTTCTGCATGGTGTGTGGCCCAGAGCAGCATGGACACGCTCCTCTGCCCTCCCCTGAAGGGGATGCCCTCCCGGCCTGAGAAGAGCGCAGGGGCACCCGGAGCCCAGAGATGGAGGCGGGCCTGGAGGCGAGGGAGGAGGGCTCCTCTCCAGTCAGGGAGCAGGGTAAGAAAGGAGGCCCTTTGGGAACAGCGAGCTGCGCTTTGCTGCTGCATCCGTGCGCCCGTCCGACGGCGAGGGAGGCATGTCACCAGGAGGCTGCCCCACCGCACTCGGCCTCCGCCCTGCCTGCCCTCACCAGAGGCTCTGCGGCCTCTCTGCGGCCCACCCGTCCAATGTCTCCAACACAGAAGCGAGAGGAGGCTCCTCAAACATGGCTGCTCCTTCATGAGTCTCCCTCCGCACAGCTCAGCCCTGCCTCCTCCCAGGTCCCCACTGCCACTAGCATAGGTAACACTCTTCCTAACACCCCGTCTCCTCCCACTTCTCATGCTACCCCTGTGCCTGGAGGAACGCCAAGGAGAGCTGGCATGGATTAGGTGCTGCAGCCAAACCGTAATTCCAGCAACCAATGAGCACTCAAAGCAAACCAGGCTCTTGCTGGGCTGACCAAGCCATGGGGCAGGGCCAGCCTAGTGCAGCTGTTGCCCCACTCCTCCTTTCCCCGACCCAAACGGACTGGGAGTGTGATGGGGCCATTACTGATCTCTCAAGACTGTCCTTAGAGGCAGCCACCTAACTGAGTCCCCTGCAGAGATACGTCAGGGTGAACCCATGTAGCTGGGCAGCAGGGGCACTGCAAACCCCATGAATTACGGGGTTTTCCCATGACTCACAGCTGCTCCAGCTAAACACCAGGAAACACCGAACAAAAGAAATGGGTATTCCTGGGTTGGCCAGGGCTGTGGTGAACTGGCCACGGGATCGGGATGGACTAGTATGGGGCAGGATTAAAAACCCTTGGGCATGAAATGCCCCGTGAGATCGCACACTCTCCACTTCTCTAAAAATCCAGGGCGTCTCGAGTCTGCAACAGACCTGGCTGTGGAAGCATCTCCTCCTGAGGGTGGATACAGCAAGGACTGAGCTGCTGCCGACGAGGCTGAAATGGAAACACAGGCAACGGTTAGTCTCGGTTGCACACGGCCAGCCGGGCATGGTATCCATCTAGTAGTCTGCACACAGCACAGCTAACATCCCCTTTCACCTCTCCTTGAGCCTGGGCTCAGACACAGGGGAGGTCCCTGCTTTGCACCCAGTCTCCCAGCTGGGATATCTGAAGTGCAAGGCACTTGTGTGAGTTACCGGCGGCTGGTTTCCGAGCTGGGAACAGGATCGGAGTCCCGAACCCTCCTACCTCCCAGCCGCAACGTCCCATCCTCTCTCCATCCTGGTCTCCCTGGGGGGCTGGAGTCCAGCTGCCAGGGCTCCCTGCTGCAGTGGGGCTCACGTTGGTTCCTCGACTGCACAGAGAAGAGCCACAGGACAGTGGGGATTGGAAAGGAGCTGGCGTGTGGCAACGGAAAAGCACTGAGGGGATGGCTTCCTGCTGCCTCCTGTAGTGGATTCATGCCCCAGCAGCCTGGACACAAGCCCTCTGGCGAGCTGGAGACGGTTGTTAAATTTAGAAGCCCTTTTGGAACCGGTTGTCCCGCGAGGGACAGGACAACTGGTTCTAAAAGGGCTTCTAAATTTAACGACGGGCCAAAAGTGGCACCTTAGGCGCCGACTCCGTGGGGGCTCTGGGGCTGTTCGCGCGGGAAGCCTGGCAGGGGCTGAGAAGCAGGCGGTGGCTTCCCTCTTAGGCCCAGGGAGGCGGAGGTGAGCTGGGGTGGGGGGGGCGTGAGGGGGGCCCGCCGCGCCGCGGCAGGTAACCCAGGGGTGGGGGGGGACATGCAGGGGAACCGCTCCCCGCCCCAGCTCACCTCCGCCTCCCTGGGCCTGAGCACGAAGCTGCTGCCTGCTTCTCAGTCCCCCCCAGGCTTCCTGCGCGAACAGCTGATCCACGGGAAGCCGGGGGGCGGGGAAGCAGAGCGGGGCAGCGCGTTCAGGGGAGGAGGTGGCGGCGGAGCGGAGGTGAGCTGGGGCCAGGCATGGGGCAGGGAGCTGCCGATGGGGGCTCTGCACCCACCAAATTTTCCCCGTGGGTGCTCCAGCCCCAGAGCACCCACGGAGTCAGTGCCTAAGGTGCCACTTTTGATGTGATCAGTGGGGGAGCGGCCGCTCCCCCTGCTCCCCCCCAGCTACGCTCCTCCGCCCCTAGGAGCCAGAGGGACTTGCCAGATGCTTCCTGGGAGCTGCCCCAGGTAAGCACCGCTGGGACTCCCCAACCTCGCCCCCGGCAGGTAGCTCTGGCTCTTAGTGGCCACTATGGTGGCCCACGAGACCCTCCTGCCTGGTTCTGGGGGCAGTCAGAGGACAGGGCTGGATGGGGCAGGGGTCCCAGGAGGTGGGGGTCAAGGAATGTGGGGGGTTGGATGGGGAAGGAGTCCCGGGGGGCAGGGGCAGGCCACGACCCCCTCGTGGGGTGAGGAGGGAACTGGTTGTTAAGATTTTGGCAGCTCATCACTGCGTAGACGGCTCACTTACCGGAGAGAGGGGCCCTGGGATGTTAGGGGATGTGGTGGTCTCCAGAAGGAAAGGTGGATTCCACAGTCCCCTCCCGCTGTGGACAAGACTGGACAGGATGAAGGGCAAAACCCTGGGGCTGGGGATAATGCATCCCCAGTGACCTTTGCAAGCTGGATGCAGGAGCACCCAGGGTCTGCCCTGGTGGTACCCTGTGGTCAGACCCCGGAGGTATCACTCTGGCCTGGGACCTACACTGGCACTGCCTGGCTACCTGAGAGCACCCCCAGAACCTGGCTCTGTCCTGCATGTGTCCCTAGCGTAGGGATAAGCGCAGAGGCCTTGATGATGCAGATATCAGAGCTTTTACGTTGTCCTCCTACAGAAGGGGGGCAGCAGCCAGCATGGGGGCTACCAGGGGAAAGTGCTTGGCAACTGGCCATGAGCAAAGCACATCCACATTGGCCCCTGCCTATCCTGACCCCCAGCAGGTCTTGGGACAGACCTCAGGTAACTGGACCCACCTCAGAGATAAGGCCGCCAAGTAGACGCAAGTCAGCACAAAGATCTAAAAGGAGAAAGGGAGATGACGAAGGGTTAATCAGGAGTCCCGTGGTCTTGATTCAATTCCTCCCCAGTGCAAGTGGAGGCTCTGCCTGCGCCTCCTCGACCCTCCCTGGCAGGCCATCAGCAGGGAACTTGCTCCAGCTGAGCCAGCTGTTTGTCAGTGGAACAGAGCAAGACCCTGAACCCTGGGCAGGCGCCATTCAGCTCGGCAGTGTAAACAGCCAGAGACAGGGAAGTGGGGGGGGAGGGGAGGAAGGGGCTCTAACTTCCATCAGGGACACACTCGAAATTAGGCAGGAAAGACCTTGGTTTAACATCGCAGGCAGGGAGCAGCGCGTGTTACAAGCTGCGTGCAAAGAGCCTATGCTAGGGCATGCGTTGCTGCGGGCAAGGACGCTCCCCAGCTGGCTTGCAACGCTGCCCTGGAGCAGGCTAAAGGTGTCTGACGGAAAATGGGTTTTCAGACAGAATTAAAAAAATGATTCTGGTTGGGTGGGTAGAATAAATTTTTTTCCCCAATAAAGCCTTGAGTTCTTGGCATAAAAATAAACCTGATGGTTTGGGGCGGGGGGGCAGAGGGGAAAGAACTGGTTTTGTTTGAGGGTTTGTTTTGTTTTACACTGATAATAGCTTAGAAAACAAGGCTTTTGTAGGGTTGATTTTTTAAATCTGGATCTCACACAAGGCATCATTTGGTATTTTTCAGCCAGCTCCAGGAGCTGTTTGAGAGAAATCTGGCGACTTCTCCCAGACTCTCCTTGGACACAGCACGAGAAGGACTAGATAGTAGTGGTGCCTGATGCTCTGCCATCACCAGCAGGCCTGGGAAAACCGATCTGATGGTCCTAACGACGCTGCCTCTGGAGGGACATGATGGAGAGCATCGATTCAGGACAAAGTGCTTAGAGCAGGGCAGTCACAGCCCCAGGCTGTGGTCTCTTCACTTCTAAGGCAAACCAAACCAGCCAGAGGACTTCGGTTTTTACCCCACTGGCTACCCATATGTCACACAAGCAATTCCCTTAGACGCTCCAGGTTCCCAGTATCCCCACCAGGATAGGGGACGAATGGCTATGAAAACCAATACCCCAGTAAAAGAAAAAAGGTTCCCTCGATCCCAAAGGACCAAGTCCCAGACCCAGGTCAATATACAAGTCAGATCTTACCCACAAATCACGCTGTTGCCAACCCTTCAGAATATAAATAAACCTTTAGATTTTAGAAAAGAAAAAGATACAGACGAGAGCTAGAATTGGTGAAATGGAATCAATGACATACAGTGATGGCAAAGTTCTTGGTTCAGGCTTGTAGCACTGATGGAATAAACAGCAGGTTCAAATCAAGTCTCTGGAGGACATCCACAGCTGGGATGGGCCATTCAGTCCTTGGTTCAGAGCTTCAGTTTGTAGCAAGGTTCCTCCAGAAGTAAGAAGCAGGACTGAAGACAAAATGGAGGGCTTTCCAGGGCCTTTTATATCCTCTGCCATGTGGCTTGTGCTTCCTTTGTCTCAAATACAAGCTGCCCAGCCATGGCTTGAAAGCCTTAGAGTTCTGTCCATAGGCAGGTCCCTGCGTTCCTTGCTGAGTCCCAAGGTGTACCTGCCTTCTCTCAGTGGGTCAGTTGTGTAGCTGATGGTCCTTAATGGGCCATCCAGCAGGCTAGGCAGAGCTGCCGCCAACTTGTCTGGGGTGTCACCCAGAAGCAGAGCACAACTTTGAAATACAGACAGTATAGATCCAAGACTTTAAATACAAAAATGATACATGCATACAGATAGCATAATCCTAACCTTACTTGACCTCCTTTGTACAAGATTTGATGCCACTACAGGATCTTGGTCGCAACAATGGTCTATATGGTCACAGAGGAACAGCCGTGTTAGTCTGTATTCGCAAAAAGAAAAGGAGTACTTGTGGCACCTTAGAGACTAACCAATTTATTTGAGCATGAGCTTTCGTGAGCTACAGTTTGATGAGCTTCATCAAACATCTGATGAAGTGAGCTGTAGCTCACGAAAGCTCATGCTCAAATAAATTGGTTAGTCTCTAAGGTGCCACAAGTCCTCCTTTTCTTTATATGGTCACAGTTCACCTCAATAACGTCACACCCCCCCAATGCAAAATTGATGCAGGAACAGATGACAAACATTGCTGATGGCATCCCAAGAGCTCCCCATCCTGGGTTCTGTCTCACTACAGCAAGTATTGGTGTATAATGGAAATGGTTTATCAAAGTCATGTTCAATAACATGATTGAATCTCTTTACATACTCAAGGTAAAACTTGGTTAGAACAATAGTGGATTGGATCTGCTCTTGCAGCAGGGTTCCTGTATGTCTCTTGCCAAGAGCTAAAGAACTACTTTATCCATACAAGCTCTGGTAAATATTTGGAACACAATATCAAGTTAATGTAGATATTAATGTTGTTCATAGTATAGGAATCTTGGTATTTAGCCGTGAAAGCAATATGGCTGTGTGCCTCAGTTTCCCTTTTTATACAGCACTTCAGGTCTGGAATGTCTTTTCTCCTGTGAAAAGTTCCAAGACTGGTTACAGGCACTAACTGTGAATCATCTAGGAGTCTGGTGGCACCTTAAAGACTAACAGATTTATTTGAGCATAAGCTTTCGTGGGTAAAAACCTCACTTCTTCAGATGCATCTGCATCACAAGGTCTTTTAACATAAAGTGTGTTCTTATGTATCACTCTTAAGGGGTTTTCCAAAAGATTAGGCACATTGTACATTTTTACAATTCTTGGTATTAGCAACACATTCGTTACAAAAATCACCATTAGCAACAACAACAAATTCATTGCGAGTGTCCATTTACAATCATTTTTGTCATGCCACACCTCTGGCTTAATACCATTGGGGATTTGGCATTTTAGGGTTAGCCTGTGGCTTCCCTTTGCAAAATTAAGGTCTCTCTTTCCTCCTTGTCATGAAGGATCAAACCCTGATTTCTCTTGCTTAACAGAATTCACTGGCTGATTGGGTGTGCTCTCTGTGCGAACAGCAATGAGCAAGTTTCAGAGTAGCAGCCGTGTTAGTCTGTATCTGCAAAAAGAACAGGAGGACTTATGGCACCTTGGAGACTAACAAATTTATTTGAGCATAAGCTTTCATGAGCAAGTCTTTCTTCTCCCTGTCAGTCAGGTAATTTTTATCAACAGAGACAGCAGCCTGTTTACCAGATCCTTAACTGCTACCAATTCCAAGGCTGGACTCTGTCTTACAGAGATATGGCACAAATCCAAAGTGTGAGGGTGAGAGTTTGCTTGCTCTTCCCTGCACCCTCAAGCATTCAGCCCGAACCCAGTTCTGCTCGGAAACACCAGGAACCAAACCTGTCCTCAGACCCTGAAGCACAGACCTTTTGGAAACTATCCTCACTGGATCTTTCAAGAGGACAGTCAGTGGATCCATTCACCACAGAAAATGTCCAGCTGTTAGGAACTGAAACTTCCTTGATTAAATCACTTCCACACCCTTCAGTTGCAGTAAACTGCTTGCACAGACACCATGAGGATTCCTTTCCCTAGGGGCTTCTTTAAGCAACAATTCACCCCCATTACCACTTCCATCCAGAGCATTGGCACAATTCATGGAGTCACCTTCTACTGAACTCACAGTAAGAGCATTCACATAAAAGGCGACAGTGTTGGGGTACATTTGGTTACACCCAGACAACTGCTCAGAGTCATACAACGTACCAACATTGTTATAAACTGGACTTTCAAGAGGATACAGTTTCTGCTGTTCTTCCCTTGCTTTTTTGACTTGGAGCCTAAGTCTGGCAACCGTTTCCTCAGCAGCCATTTGCCTTCTACGAGCCCTTTCCTCTCATCTGCCTCCTTCAGTTTTTCAGCAGCTTCTCTTTCCAATTCAGTATTCCTTTCCTTAGCTTCTTTCTCTAATTCAGCATTCTTTTGCTTTTCTAGCAATCGACTGTCTGCTCGTCTCTGTTCATGCTCAAGTTTCAGTTTACTTGCTGCCTTTTGCATTATTATTGCTTCTGCAGCCTCAGGTAAGGGCTGTGCTCCTGCCTTCTGATCGCTGGCCATTAACAGATCTCACAGTTCTTGATTCGTAGCTTTAGTTTTAAAGCTTATCCCCTTTTCTGAATACAAATGTTCCAGGGCTTTTTTGTCAAGACCCTCGTATGCTCTTTGCTTACCCATTGCAACTGCTCTTTAACCAACAAAACTCTCAATACCGAAATTCAAATTTGGATAGTATGGGGTACGGACCAAAAGCTTAATTGACCTCGTTCTGTGAATCCAAGCACGACTATGCTACTGTAACGATGCTGTCCCTGGAGGGACACAACTGAGAGTATTGATTCAGGACAAATTGCTTAGAGCAGGGCAGTCACAGCCCAAGGCTGGGTGTCCTTTATTATACTAAGGCGCCAAACCAGCCAAACAGAGAGGACTTCGGTCTCACCCCACTGGCTAACCAGAAGTCACACAAGCAATTCCCTTAGACACTCCAGTTTCCCCGTATCCCTACCAGGGCCACTCGTTATGGGGATGAATGGTTATGAAAACCAATACCCCAGTGGGGGAAAAAAAAAAAAAAAAAAGAAAAGGTTCTCTAGATCCCATCCCAAAGGACCAAGCCCCAGACCCAGGTCAATATACCAGTCAGATCTTACCCACAAATCACGCTGTTGCCAATCCTTTAGCATCTAAAATCTAAAGGTTTATTCATAAAAGAAAGAAATAGAGATGAGAGCTAGAATTGGTGAAATGGAATCAATGACATACAGTGATGGCAAAGTTCTTCATTCAGGCTTGCAGCAGTGATGGAATAAACTGCAGGTTCAAATCAAGTCTCTGGAGGACATCCACAGCTGGGAGAGGTCGTTCAGTCCTTGGTTCAGAGCTTCAGTTTGTAGCAAGGTTCCTCCAGAGGTCAGAAGCAGGACTGAAGACAAAATGGAGGGCTTTCCAGGGCCTTTTATATCCTCTGCCATGTGGTTTGTGCTTCCTTTGTCTCAAATACAAGCTGCCCAGACATGGCTTGAAAACCTTAGAGTTCTGTCCAGAGGCAGGTCCCTGCCCGCCTTGCTGCGTCACAAGGAATATCCGCCGTCTCTCAATGGGTCAATTGTATAGTTGATGGTCCTTAATGGGCCATCCAGCAGGCTAGGCAGTGCTGATGCCAAGTTGTCTGGGGCATCACCCAGAAACAGACAGTATAGAGCCAATACTTATAACTTTAAATACAAAAATGATACATACATACAGATAGCATAATCATAAGCAGCAAATCATACCCTCCTCATAGACACCTTACTTGACAACCTTTGTACAAGATTTGATGCCACTATAGGATCTTGGTTGCAACAATGGCCTATACGGTCACAGTTCGTGTCAATAAGGTTACAACGATCCTGGTGCATGCTAGTGTCCCAGCAAAGGGACATTCCAAACGAAGCAGGATAAAGGGACAGAATAGAGAACAATCCTGCCCTGGCCTCTGGAGCTTGGAAAGAGAAGGTCTTAACCCTCTGCAATCAGTGTGTGTACATGAAGAGGAGTAGGTGGTGGGTGGTGACTTGGCTCTGGTACCCTGTCCTACCAGTATTCTGGGTGGGGTTTCCCCAGCTTCTGCCGGGCTAGCTCAGGAGAACAGGACAAAGAGGTTTCCAGGGTGAAAGAGGGGAGCAAAAGTTGCTTGATTCCACCTTCAGCGTCTCTGGGAGACTAGCAAGTACTCCTGCTCTGGAGTTTGCTCCCCTCATTCCCAGACCGGGGTGCAGCCCCCCTCCCCTGCTAACAGACATGGCTGATTGCTGTAAGACAAGAAGCAGTCCCGCTTTAGCCTCAGCCCATGTGGAATTCATGGGATGCTCTCCTGCCAGCATCGCTGAATCATGCAAAATCCTTTCCCTCTGCCTTGTGTGGGTCACAGCAGCCTGGGAATGAGGAGTTCCCGAGAGCAGCTTTTTGCTACATCGCGTCTCTGAAATGCTGCGTCTGGCACGGTGTGGCCCACAGAACAGTGCAGCTTTCCCCCAATTATAGACGGAGAGAAAATGAGCCGTGAAGGGACAGATGGGGTTGAATGACTCAGACAGAGACAACTAAAGCTCCTGGAGAGACAGGCCATCCTATAACCCCTTCGGAGGATAGAGAGACTGAATCCTGGTAAGAAAGAGCAAGATTGACAGGCACAAAGCAGAAGCTACAGCCTCTGAGAAATGCAGCTCAGTTCCAGAGAGAAAACACAATCCATCATCTTCCACACAGCAGGAGCAGGAGCCCTACGGCAGGCACTTTGCAGCCGGGAAATACATCAGATCCACCTCCCTGCAGGCTGTCAGTTCTCAGGAGTGTCCCCTGAGCCCATCTACACTGGGCATACTGTTCAGTGCATGGGGAGGTGACCTGCTGGCTTCCACTGAGCTGGTGAGTGGGGCAACATGGGCTCTGACGGGCACCTTTGCAGAGCCCATGTCATTTTGCTGGGGTCTCTACAGCCCTGGTTTGTGCGTGTAGGTTGGTACCTTGTCGTTGGACAGCGCTTCTGCGCCGTCCCCTCGGCTCGCTGCCTCCATGCCGACTGTAGCCTCTTCTGTTGATTCCAGAGCAAAAAGCCTCCCAGCTCCTCCTCCTGGCTGGGCTCCTGCAGGCGGTGGTAGCTCTCAGCACTGAGGGGCTTTTCTCCCTCGCAGGTTGCTGTTGACTCAACTGCTGCTGTAACCTTTGCTTGTTTGGTTTGTTCCACACCCCTGTCACGGGGAGGGGGTAGTGCCTGGAGAGTGCGGCTGGAGTAACCTGCCCAGCCAGCCTTCCACTGTCTCACAAAGGGGCAGAGGCAGAAGCCTTCCCTTGATGCCCAGTGGCCTCCCAGAGCAACCCGGAGCCACCATGGCTGGATCAAGATGGGGATTAGATACCAGGCCCAAGCCGCTGAGTCCTCAGGGATTGCAAGAGGGGACAAGTCACATCTCTCCATGCATGTCGCAGCACCCCGGACTCCCACCCACGTCCCCTCTACATCACCCAGGGAGGGGGCGGGGCCAGAGAGGAACATTGCCAATCCCCCCCCCGCTCAAAACAACAACCCTAAGACTGTGTAAAAGGTGCAAAATTCAACACTAGCCACCCCTCCCCCGCTTCCTTTCACTCACACCTTCCCCAGTTCCCGAGGACGCACTGCACAGCCGCTCAGCCCAATGCGTGGGTGCAAGTCTGACAACCCCTCTCACAACCGCTCTGAATTTAACCCCTTGCTTCAGTGCCACTCAGCTTGCCCTGCTCTTGTGGCTCAGGCTGGGGTTCGTCGCAGGGCTGGTGACAACACGTCACATACCGCGCTTTACAGCCGGCGCCCCACTTCCCCGTCGTGGGTGAACACGATCTCCACGCTACAGCAGGGGGGACGAAGGCCAGAGCGAGGAAGGGAGTCTCAGCTCCCGGCCCCGAGGCACAGGACACCAGGCTGCCTCCAGAGAGGGTTTCACGGGCTTCTCGTGGGCGTGGCCACAGCTGTGAACAGGAACAGCGTGTGCAGGCTGAGTGGGGCTCTGTGCTGTCAGGCCATGAGCGAATACAGCCCAGGTTTTTCCAAAACAGCCTTTTGTTGCCAGCAGAATCAGTCTGAACATGACCGAAATTGGACCAGTTGGAGGAGGGCAGCTGCGAGAATAGAACATAGAACATAGAATATCAGGGTTGGAAGGGACCTCAGGAGGTCATCTAGTCCAACCCCCTGCTCAAAGCAGGACCAATCCCCAATTTTTGCCCCAGATCCCTAAATGGCCCCCTCAAGGATTGAACTCACAACCCTGGGTTTAGCAGGCCAATGCTCAGAGGCCTTCGAGGAGAGGACGGAGGCCAGGCAGCTAGCGGACGTTACGAACGCAGGAAAGGCAAGTCTGGCCGTGTTGGCCAGGAACATGCAGAAGGAAATTCACACGATAGTGCAAAGGAACAGACTGCATGTTTAATGAGGCCCGTGTTTCACAACAGTTGGCACATGACTTCATACACACACACAAACCCTTCAATAAAAACATCCCCAAAGCTGCATGGCGAAGGGTGTCTGTGCACAGCCCCACCCAGCTGCAGCGCTCTCCAAGTGGGAGGAGAGCAGAGACTTATGCTGAGTCACTTACTGGCCCAAACACAGGATTGGGAGCCAGGAACACCCAAGAACCTGATCTCTTCTGATACCACCTCCCTTTGCAGATTTGGGCAGGTCCCAAGCTCTCTGCCTCAAATCTCCCCCGGTTGGGAGATGGAATAATCCTTCTCTTCTGGGCAGTGCTTTAAGGGATGCAAAGCACCACACTGCAGAAAGGGGGAAGCTAGTGGGATCATTATTGAAGTTTGAAAGCCACCTTCTGCCTCATGGCAGTCTGTGCTAACTCCTCATCACTTCCGTCAACCTGGCTGAGGAGGCCCACAGGGCTTCCAGAGCAGCGACACGGCTACATGGAATGGTTCGGGCTCAGAGCCTGTCTGTTCACCGGCGGCCACGTTCTCAGTACAAAACTCCCTTGCCGTGCTGCTGACCCCAGGAAAGGGACGTTGGGGGGAGCTGGATTATGTATATTTGAGAGGGGAACGAATGAAATCTGACAGAGCATTTCCAGCAGCAGGGCAGGGCTTTCCCCACTTCCAGGTGACCTGTTGCTTCTCAGGCATAGCGGAGTAGTGGCAGCTCCATTGAGTCCACACAGCAAGTCCATGCAGAAAGATACCATTTCACCCAGCAATAAGATGATGAAGTCAGGACCAGCACTGAAGGCAGAAGACTCAATCTACTCAGCTCTGCTACGTCCTTTTGCTTATGTATTAACACCTGGCCTCACTGCACCAGACTGTCTTTTAACACCCTATATAACACCAACTTCTCACACACCCTCATGCTCAGTACACTGCAGCTAACTCTGTCAGACATACTTCGATTTTTAAGTCAAAATAAGACAAGATTGAAGAAAATCAGTTACAGAGTGTTAAAGTTATGAACATTTCAAGTCAAGTAAGTTGACACTTCTGGGTTTAAATCAATTCAAACTTGGAGTGGTTTGCACCGCTGCAGAGCCAGGAAGCATTTTAGCTTTGATTCTGTCTGATCTGTAAGCGCTGGCAGCTTGCTCTTGTGATTCTGAGAGCAGCCCTTGTTCCACGGCAGATTAGAGCATGCACAGCTGAATAGCAGGGGCCAGCACCCAGGCCCAGTGCTGAGGGGCCAGAAGTACTAGTCACCAAAGCTTAGAATTGTAGGACTGGAAGGGACCTCAATAGGTCTTCTAGTCCAGTGCCCTGCACTCAAGGCAGGACTAAGTATTATCTAGATCAGTGGTTCTGAAACTTTTGTACTGGTGACCCTTTCATATAGCAAGCCTCTGAGTGATCCCCTTATAAATTAAAAACACCTTTTTACATATTTAACACCATTATAAATGCTGAGGCAAAGTGGCATTTAGGGCAGAGGCTCACAGCTCATGACCCCCCATGTAATAACCTTGCAACCCTGAGGGGTCCTGACCCCCAGTTTGAGAACCCCTAATCCAGACCATCCCTGATGGGTGTTTGTCCAACCTGCTCTTAAAAATCTCCAATGACGGAGATTCCACAACCTCCCTGGGCAATTTATTCCAGGGCGTGACCATCCTGACAGTTAGAACATTTTTTCTAATGTCCAACCTAAACCTCCCTTGCTGCAATTTAAGCCCATTGCTTCTTGTCCTAGCCTCAGAGGTTAAGAACAACAATTTTTCTCTCTCCTCTTTGTAACAACCTTTTAAGTACTTGAAAACTGTTATGACCCCTCTCAGTCTTCTCTTCTCCAGACTAAACAAACCCATTTTTTTCAATGTCTCCTCATAGGTCATGTTTTCTAGACCTTCAATCATTTTTGTCGCTCTTCTCTGGACTTTCTCCAATTTGTCCACATCTTTCCTGAAATGTGGCACCCAGAACTGGACACAATACTCCAGTTGAGGCTGTATCAGTGCGGAAGAATTACTTCTTGTGTCTTGCTTACAACACTCCTGTTAATACATCCGAGAATGATGTTCACTTTTTTCCCCAACAATGTTACACTGTTGACTCCAGATCCCTTTCCGCAGTACTCCTTCCTAGGCAGTCATTTCCCATTTTGTATGTGTGCAACTGATTATTCCTTCCTAAGTTGAGTACTTCGCATTTGTCCACATTGAATTTTATCCTATCTACTTCAGACCATTTCTCCAGTTTGTCCAGATCATTTTGAATTATAATCCTACCCTCCAAAGCACTTGCAACCCCTCCCATCTTGGTATCGAAGCACCAAGCAGAGGCAAAACATGGCCCATCTCCTAACAGTCTGTGGAAACACACCCATAGGAGTAAGCTCAGTGACGGTCAGAATAGCTCTGGTCAGTGGCAGCCACAGCAGTAAAATTACCAGCCTGGAGACCACCCTCATCCATTCTAATTCTGGGCCTTATTCTGCCCGACATGCTGAGTAGAACCTTACTTTGTGAATAGTCCCATTGGTTTCAAAGGTGCTACTCAACGGAAGGTTGGCCAAAGTGGGACCACGGAGAGTAGGAGAAACTGACTCCTCCTTTAGACCTCTCAGCAGGGTCCATAGCAGTAACTACCTGCACTTCTTAGAGAGATGAGACACACAAGGCCAAATTCTGCTCCCTGTTACACTGCTAGCGACCTGGAGCGACTCCACTAGACTTCAGCACAATAGCAAAAGTTTGATCCCACACTTTATTGAAAAAAGGAGTACTTGTGGCACCTTAGAGACTAACCAATTTATCTGAGCATAAGCATAAGCTGTAGCTCACGAAAGCTTATGCTCAAATAACTTGGTTAGTCTCTAAGGTGCCACAAGTACTCCTTTTCTTTTTGTGAATACAGACTAACACGGCTGTTACTCTGAAACCACACTTTATTGAAGAAACTCACTCAGTCCCCATCCTTTCCACTTATGTTCCCAGCAGCCCAACATCCAACGAAGTGTAGGTACCCAGCCCCTCTTCTCCTGGCACCATCTGATGAAGTGTTTACTCCTTGGTTTTTTGGTCCCTTTCCAAGGTTTCCAGCAGGCACAGAATCTGCCTGTGGAATTTTCGTTTTTTCTGTAAGTTTGCTGGGGGAGCAAATGGCAGCTGAGCATTGAGGTTTTCCATTTAATAGTCAGTTTCTGAAATGGAATGGAGAGACCCTTATGGGTCACCCAGTCAGGGTGCTTCCCTTTGGGGTTGGCAAAGGGATCACCACAACAGCAATTTGCCTGCATCTGTTATTCACTGGCCAGCCCGATGTTGACTAATATATGCCGGTTAGCATACAAATATATAACATATTCATAATATGTATTATCTGTACCATATATACATATTGTATATGGTGTTAATGTGTGTGTGTGTGTGTGTGTATAATACACAAAGCACCAATAATGCAATAGTGATAGAACTTAACCTGGTCTACACCATAATCCTGTTCACTTATGCTAAGGATCGCATAATACTTGGAATGTGCTGAAGTCAGCATTTGGCACAAGCAGATAGGAAACTTGTCAAAATCAGACACATTCGCTCTCTGTCATGGTACCAGCTAGGGAAGGACCTTCATGGATCAGTACGAGGAATGCTAATGTCCAGAACAAAGCTAAGGAAGGAACAGAACAACAAGTTAGGGAACTGGAACAAGCTGATGGGTTGGACTTCAGTGACGTAAAGAAACGGATAACTTGTAAAATCATGTAAATAATAGCAACTGAAACCTGTAACTTGGGGAGCACAACTTCTGCATAAGATGAGGTACCATCACTGCATGCAACCGCTCTTTGGAGACTGGTACTGTATACACATTTTTCGTGTATTGCAACAATAAACCCAACTGACCTTGATTCTTTGGTCTCAAGTATATTTCAAACAAATAACAAACCAAAGTGTGGTCAAGCAACTGACTATACAATTTATCACAACCAATTACCATGGAGGAGAGGGGTTGCTTGCACAGCACTTTGAGAGTGTAAAACACTATGTACAGGAGGCTACTAAATTTCACTTCTCATGCTCTCCATAACTCCCCCACTCTCCAGTTACAGCTGTCACTCAGCAAGCTTTTGCTCCCAAAAAATCTTTGCTGAGACACTGCTCCCATATGTCTGTGGCTGGAAAGCCCTGCATAACGCGTGGGCCTGGTTAGAGTCACTTCCTCAAGGAAGATCACAATGCAGCATTGTGCTGATTCCAACGAAAGTGCTTAGGAGCCCTAGCAGAGCATAGAATCATAGAATATCAGGGTTGGAAGGGACCTCAGGAGGTCATCTAGTCCAACCCCCTGCTCAAAGCAGGACCAATCCCCAATTAAATCATCCCAGCCAGGGCTTTGTCAAGCCGGACCTTAAAAACTTCTAAGGAAGGAGATTCTACCACCTCCCTAGGTAGTGCATTCCAGTGTTTCACCACCCTCCTAGTGAAAAAGTTTTTCCTAATATCTAACCTAAACCTCCCCCACTGCAACTTGAGACCGTTACTCCTTGTCCTGTCCTCTTCTACCACTGAGAACAGTCTAGAACCACCCTCTCTGGAACCACCTCTCAGGTAGTTGAAAGCAGCTATCAAATCCCCCCTCATTCTTCTCTTCTGCAGACTAAACAATCCCAGTTCCCTCAGCCTCTCCTCATAAGTCATGTGTTCCAGACCCCTCATCATTTTTGTTGCCCTTCGCTGGACTCTCTCCAATTTATCCACATCCTTCTTGTAGTGTGGGGCCCAAAACTGGACACAGTACTCCAGATGAGGCCTCACCAATGTCGAATAGAGGGGGACGATCACGTCCCTCGATCTGCTCGCTATGCCCCTACTTATACATCCCAAAATGCCATTGGCCTTCTTGGCAAAGAACACCTTCTTCAGCACCCGAGCAAACAGCCCATAATGCTGACGCAATTGAGTCCACTTGGCAACTGTGGCCTGGAAGCATTAAGGGTTGCTCCCTCATGCTGCCAGTCTGCAAGGGCAAGCATGACTGCCTAGATACTCAGCAACACATCCTTGCAGCACTGCACAGGTTGTGTGCCAAGGAAAGAAGCCTTCCCCAAGGCTGCAGAGCATCACAACTCCAGCTGATTAAATCATCTATTTCCTAACCCAGTTCCAGGGCTCACAAGTGGAATGGAACCTGAGCAGGAACACCACACAACAAAGTACCAGGAGGGAAGCTTAAAACAAGGCCAAATGTGCTTACAAACAGGTCCCTGTCTCTTCTGTGGCTGCAAAACTGGGTCATTAAAATCTCCGCTGTCATTAAAAACAAAAAAATTTCTTGCCCACCTGGGTGAGAGAACCCTGAAAACGAGAACTGAGTGTAACCAGTACAGTGCTGGGTTCCAGAGTCTGCAAACAGCCTCCAATAGCAGCTCTGAAAGGTGTGAACTGCCCTGTTTGTTTCAATGTGGTGCTGGTGATGCCAAAACGTAGTGGGAGTTTAAATGTCAATCCTATTTTACTACTGAGCATTTTAGCAAAAGATCCAGCAAGCGTGATTATCACAGGCCCAAACTCTCTCCTCACAGTTTTGCAGATGGGTACTTACTAAACAGATTCATAATGTTTGTATTTAAATTGTTAAAACCCTCCATTTTTAAATTTAAATGAGGCTGCCACAGAGCCCTGGCACCTTAGGGCCAGCTTGTTGGGAGTTGTTTATAACCAAGCCAGTGTTTTACACTCACACGGCCTCGGCTGGGGACGTCCAAGTACTTACAAACACTCCTGTGAGATAGGAGAGTCGGATCCCAGTGTTGATCTGGGAACAGGCCCCTAATCCCTGACTCTCAAGACTGACCCTTGTGTAACCTGATCAAAACTCAGTATAATGATTCAGCATTTGAGGCCAATAATTATACCCCAGGTCTGTGTATAAACTGAGATAGGCTTTGATATACCTATAGAACAGGGACATCAATGGTTAAATTCAAAGCTGAATGATGGGAAGAGAAGCTATAATTTTAGCCGTGTTACAAACACAGATTAGAGGGTGCCGCCTTGTGGTCTGGGTGTGCCAATGCACTATGGAAAGGAATCATACATTTGCGTACTCAGACAGCCTCTATGCTTTCTCCCCAGAAAGGCAAAGTTACTCACAGGAAAAGGAAAGAGAACTGGTTGAAAGCTTGAGCCCTGTCACGTCGGTATCCATTGCCAGGGGTGGGTAGAGGAGAACGAGAAGAGATGGGGCTAGAGCAATCTGCTCCCCTGCTAGTTCAGCACAGAGAAATACAGGCTTGACAATGTGAGACTTGCAGGTGAAGAGGATTCTACTTCCTGACCAGGCCAGCCACAGGGCAGTTGTCCCTTACTCCCAAGTGAGAGCCAAGGATGTCCCTTTCAATAGCTCAGCCTCTACAGCACACTCAGGCAAGGAAAAAGGACTGGGTCAGATTCCCACTGGATATGGACCATGGAAAGCAGGGGTTTTTGCACACTCAGACTCCACCTTCCATAGCAATCCAGAAAGATGGGTGTTTTCCACAGACAGGACAGACCAGGACCCAGTCCCCTCGGCGGTGTTGCAGCTCTAGGCTGGTGCATGTTCTATAACACAAATGGGATCAGAAGGTGCAGAGATGTACATGAGGAAGCAATGGTATACATACACTTCACATCAGACTAGCCTTCTCACCCAGCCAGCAGACTCCAATACTCAGAACCCACAGCCTGATCGATCTGCCCAACCCCTTCCCTGCCTGGCTTGTGTTAGAGGCCAGTCCTGCAGCCCTTACTGAAATGAGTAGCGCTACCGTCTTCTCAGGTGAGTCAAAGCCTTACACCGGGCGGTGTAGCAGCCATCAGTCTTGCCAAAGGGCTCCTGGGCACAGCCAGAAAGAATAGTAATGCCATTGTTTCCAGTGCTATATTGGCAGTGGTCCACCGAAGAATGGTATTTCAAACTATTTCAGGCCTCTGTCTGCCAAACTCATTTAATCTTGGCGAAATTTTGGCAGAACTTCTGGATTAAAGTGATAGTGGGCCAAGCCTTCATATACACACACACACACACACACAGAGGTACTTTACTGAAACCATATTTCCCCAGTAAGCTATTGGGCTCTCTCTGCTCAACAGACTGTTTTTCCCCACACCTTTCACTGCTTCTTCCAACTTCTTCAATAGTTGTGCTCCCCCTCAAAAATTCTGAACAAAAGGCTAGGTTTAAGAATATCCAGGATGTTGGACAAGCCCCATAAAGCCTAAAAATGGTTGCTGGAGGTCAGCTCGCCATTGCAATCCCAGGCTTTCATCACCACCTTCCTGGGATCTAACACATTTAACACTGGATTCCCCTTTGCCCAAGAAGGTTAGAAAACTCAGATCTAACTTGATGAGATGGGTACTTTGTCCTTTTTGTTTTAGAAATGGCATGGAGCCATTACTCAGCCCTTTGGATCAAACAACTGGCAAAGCAATTCTCCCCAACACACCACCATATGCTTCTCCTCCTACGCTCGTGCTTAATAAGTGCACATGTTGGCACGTGGAAAATTCCCAACCTGGAGTAAGAAATTTTTTTTAGGTGTACTTTTACCCCAATAGAATTTAGCTCTCTTCAATGTCTAGCACTGTTCCAAGCAATCTGAGGAGCTATTCTGCTCTCTCGTGTAAATTTGGCTCTCGCACATACTCACTAGCAGCCTTCAGGAAGTCTCTGAGGACTTTCTTATATCTGGATAGTAGCTGGTCATTAAGACTCATCTCTCCCTGGTTTTCAGGGTTTTTTAAAATGCAAAGTGATTACATCACAGCGTTGCCCAATCTGTTAAGTACTTTTCCTTTTATTTTTAGGACATGAGCCCATTTGGAGTTTTAAGACCCAAGCAAGTGACCTAACTTAGTAAGTTTTCCCCACTCTATACTTGACAGGTTAAAAAAAAGGAACATTTGATTTAAAAAAATACTGATGTCCTCAGTGGGGACCTCCTTTTATGTAATCTTAACCCAGAGTGAATTCTTGTGGCACAGAAAGTTGTGGTCCTAGTGGAATTACTGAGATGACAATTTGTTTTGTGGCCTAGCGCTAATTGCATTAGTCTAAAAGCTCAGTACTTCGCTGAAGGCTCCCGTGCCCTTGACACATGATGGACACAAATAATTAAGTGCAGAGGTCCTGGGACGGATGGTTAGTTCTTCTTATACAGTTAGAAAACAGGAACATGTCACTGTAAAAGTAAAGTAGTTATGAGCAGGACCCGGGTTCTCATCTCTTCCCAGAAAGCCACCAACTGCTGTTGGCTGAATGTCTCATAATAACCTGCTTCTCCTCTGGACTGAAGTGCAGTATAGTCAATATGGCAGTTAGAGTCTGCTGACGGCCCAGTGAGTCTGGCAAGGTCAAGAACCGATAGACAATGTTCTTGAGATATTCCAGGTTGGCTCCCTCTCTGCTCTTATCCCTTAAGTTCTTCTGGATATGGTCTTGAAGGGTGGATACCTCTTCCCTATGCTTCTCTTCCTCAACCAAAAGTCTCTCCTGGAGCTGGTGAACTTCCTTCTCCAGTTTGTGCTTCTGCTTCCTTAAGGCTACAATTTCTACCTCTTTCCGGGCCAGCTGCTCTGCATACAGAAAGAAAGTGGGCTCATTGGCGGCAGCAAGATGCAGAGCCTGGGTGAGGTTCTCAGAAGAGATTGCACCCATTAAATCATCACTGCTCATGTCACTCCCTGGTGCTAGGTAATTTTTGGATCCTTGAAGCCCATAAGGTATGGCTAGAGACCTCAACTGCTCCAGCTCTTGGTCCTTTTCCGACAGCACAGCCAGGGCTCTGTCCCGCTGCTTGTGCATTTCTTCCTCCAGCTTTAGTGCCCTTTCCCTGTAATCCAGCCCGCATTTCTCTAGGTCCTGCCTGTGGACCTGCTGCAGGTGGGACACCTCTTGCTTCTTGGCTTCCATTTCTTGCTTGTGTTGCTTCTCCATCTCTTCACAGGAGAGCCGAAGTGCAATGTATTTCTCCTTCAGCTCAGCCAGCTGTTCCTGGGTGTCCTCTAGCTCTTTGGCCAAGTTGACATCTTTGGCTGACTTATTCTTGAGGACCACTTGTGCTCTCATCTTGTACCTTTCAAATTCCTCCTTCAGTTGTTTTAGCTCTTGTTGGTAATACAGAGCAGTAGCCTTCTCCCCATCCCCAGCCTCGGTGCCCTTTGGCAGCTCCAACTCACAGAGCTTCTCTATGTCCAGGGCGGGCTGGCTCTTCTTGGCTGCCATCTGCAGCAGCTTCTTCAGCTTTTCCATTTTGTCTTTCAGAACATTAACATCCAGGCTGGCTTCCTCAGTGTGAATGTCCACTGGGGATCGGCTGGAAGCAGCGATGGCCAGAGTCTTGTTTTCCAGGTCTAGCTGCACAATGCGGTCCTTTAATTTCTGAATAGTCATTTGGTCTTTTTGTTTGGCTTTTTCATAAGTGCCAAGCAGCTCTGACACCTCAGACACCTGGCTCTCCAAGCTGGCCACTCGACGCTCCTCCATCTGGGCATGCTGATGGAGCTGCTCTTCTGCCTGTGCAGTCTGGAAACAAAAGGAGCACAGACAGGTTACACTTCTGTTTTGTTTTATACTGGAAATTTGTGGCAGGAATTAACCTTGGTCTCCTGAATCCCAGGCTAGCACCCTAACCACCAGGCCACCCTTCCCCTCTCCCAATCAATTCTGGGCCATGACACAGCTAGTCTGGCCCATATTTAAAGGATAAATAAACAAAGGATCAAATGAAAAACAATTTTCTATTTGCATTCCCCATTCTCAAGCAAGAAGTGCTGCTATGCCACACTAGCACTGGCAAGGAGAGGCATGCCAGCACTTAAGGCCTTGTTTTTCTTATGGGATTTCTTAAAACCTGTGTGTACTCTAAAGGGTGCAGTACTCCTAACTGCACTGGGTACAACTGCAGCATATTGTGGAGCTAGTATCACAGCCAAATTCAAGTAATCTTCTCCACTAGTTAGACTCCCCTGGGAAATCCTCTCATTAGAGGCCATTTTCAAAGGACAAGCCCACAGAGGAGTGTGAGACCAGAGATAAAATGAAATTAATGCCCATGTGTTTTCTGGTGGAAGGAATTTTCTAGACATTTCCAAATCCAGAGGGGAAGAAAGAATTCTGGAATGTTAACAGGAGGAGTTGGAGATTTTATTCTGGAATTATTTTAGCAGCAAATCCAATTACGGGAGATGATTTTTATTCTCTTTATCTGGGTTCACCTACTCATCACTCTCTTCCTCCATATCCCTGGTTTCTGCCCTTCTCTCTCCCCACCTGCACATGAGAGGCTTTTGCCCTGTTGTTTACCGCCCCCACCCCCCCTGACCCACCAGGCCAAACTTCACACAGAGTGATCATGAAGGGCCTCAACAGCAGAGCTTCCCCAAGAATATCATGACATTTCCAAGGACGGCACAAGACACACCAGTTTCATGTTGCTCCCACCAACATTGAGGAGCAATTGCCAATGGCAGCATAAGATCTTTCTCAATGGAACAGACAATGGTCCTTGTAGTCTGATATCTGGCTGCCAAGGAAGGTTTGAAACTGTCAAAATGCATCTCATTCCTCCAGGAAAAGAGGAAAGATTTTTTCATGACCCCAGCTGGTGACCAGCTCAGCCCCTGAAGCTGGAGGGTTAAAAGCCCTTCTCATTTCACCTCATCTTACTGAGTTATTTACCTCAGCATCCATTTTCTGTTGATTTACAAAACATTACATTAAAATTATTTCTATAATAATTTCAATTTACACTGCTCTTTCACCGCAGGCTCTTGAAAAAAGTTTTACAAAGGTAAAATCATAGGAACTGCCACAATGGCTCAGAACAGTGCTCTATCCACTCCAATATCTGGTCTCCGACAGTGGCCAGGATAACATGCTTCAGAAGGTGGTGTAAGAAACTCTATAATGGACAATCATAGCATACCTGTTCATAAAAGAAGTTTCTTCCTACTCCCATTGGTTAGTGGTTGACTTTTGCCCTGAAGCATGGCAGTTTGCATCCTTATTAAGAAGTTATTCCTTCTAGTGGAACCGTAGATTTTTTTTTTTAAATCTCTCTTATTTATGGTCCTATGAAGATGCAGGATTTATGTCAACCCAAACTCACTACAAATCTCTGTGTACTCAGTACTGCTCTCTTCCTATACAACATGTTGGCTAGTGCACCCTGGTGTACAAACAGAGAATTACCTTTCTCATCTCTTGCAGCAGCTGTGCTTGAAAGTGACTCTTGAGGCTGACAATCTCATCCTGAAGCTCCTGCAGCTGGGGATCTGGCTTGCTGTTCTCTTCCTGCATAGCCTGCAGTTCTCTCTTCAGCTCCTCCACCACCCTGCTCAGCTGCTTGGTTTGCAGTTCAGACTCTTCCACACGGTCAGCCACATACACCCTTCCAGCCAGTGCTTCCCTGGTCTCCTCCAGCTTTAGCTCCACATCCTGGCGCAAGGTCCTCTCACTTTGCAGCAGCTTCTGTAGCTCCCGCAGCATAACGGCATGGTCACTCTGTTCCTGGGCCCGGTCATGTTGCTGTGTGATTAGACGAGCTTTGGTTTCTGCCAGCTGTTCCTGGACACACTTCATTTCTGCCTCCAACTTGCTCCTGTCTTCTTCAGCCTTTTTACTGGCCTCATCCAGGTCCTGCTTCATTTTTTTCTTGTCTGCTAGGTATGAGGCTTCCATGCGGGATTTCTCCTGGGTGACTGTAGCCAGGGAGCTGGTCAAGGTGGCCAGCTGAGTCTTCAGCTGGAGCACTCTTTTGTCAGCCTCATTAGCAGCGACTGGCACATCCCCACTGCCAGTGCTGATGCCGCTCTCTGACCCACTCGCCTCCTCCGATTTCAGAAGGGAGGCCCCAGCTGCTGTTTTCTCATCTTCTGTCCCCAGTTCACCCTTGGCACTGGTCAAGCTGGCAGCAGTGTCCACACTTGTAGCTGTCCCCATGCTGTCTTCACTATGAACAGAACTCCTGTCATCAGCAGAGTCAGCAAAGGAAACACTGGAGCTGGCAATGTCTGCAAGGTGAGCTCCACTCAGGCCAACGTCTGTCTCATGAGACACGGACAACACTTTTAAGCTAGCTTCCAAGGCTTCCTTCTCCTTGAGCAGGCTCTTGTAGGCTCTAACAACATCCTTCAAGCGAGTCTGGTACTGAAGAAGCTGTTTCTTCTGAGTTTCAATAGTCTCCAGAAGATCTTTTTTACTAGGACCACCCCCAAAGTTCATGCCAAACTTCTCCATGACTCCTCAGCGGCTGTTCAGCTTTGCTGCTCATGCAACCTGAAAGGAGAGGGCGGAAAAAACGTGAGCGAAGGCTACATAAATAGCCGCGGCAAGTCTTAAAACAGAGGAATGAGGCCACGAGGCTGCTCATGGGCGAACAAATCTGCAGAGCAGGAGCCCAGGGCCGCATGACAGCCTGGGGCGCAAACACACGCGTCGGAAGACTCGGAGCGCCCGGGAACGGCGCAGGGCTGGGGACCTCAGGGACTCCGGAGTGACTCCGGTTCTGTCACTGACGCCACGGCAAAGCCCCCGGGCCTCACGTCACCCCTCTGTAAGAGGGGGCGCTGCGGCCCCCGCCCCCGCCCAGGCGTCACAGGGGGGCGGCTCGGGAGCAGCCACGGGCGGGGGGGGGGG